TATATAAAACTCAAGAGGTTGTCCATTGAATTTAGGCCACTTGAGCACATTTATATTTTTAATTGTGCAAAGTACGTATTTGTTAAGTATGGCTTGCTGCATTATTTTGCTAAAAAACACATGAGTTCTTCCATATCTGTTCTACAAATCCAAACTCTATAGTGTTGATTGGCATTTGTCAAGTTTAGATATTTCTTTTTTTTAACTGAAACAAATTGTAATGAGATTAAAATTTGTTCTTCTGTCAAAGAGCTGTCTATGGTACTTTTTACTTCTGTTTAAATCATTCATCACCTTGTTGTTTGCTGTTTGCTTCGTTCGCCACTAGCCACCAACAACAAGCTTGTGGGCTAGGCAGTACTTCTGGTCGTGGGCAACAAATTCTATTGCCACTCGCCGGCAATTACATTCCGACAGCTCCACATCGCTCACCCAGCCACCCACGCGCCCGTCTCGAGGTGAACCAAGAAAATTTGCAGTTTGGCAGCACTCTCGATGCCAACAGCCTTGGGCGCTCGCCAACAGCGTTTTGGGAGCGATTTGCAATTGTTGCACTTTTATCGCGTTCGTGACGAAATGCAAACAAACATTTCCACACTGCGTGACAGCGAAAATTGCTCTTGAGTATGTGCACAAAAAACGATAAAACGAAAACAAAAGCAAAATAAATGACTGTTTCTTGGGCCTTTTAAAGGGGGTGGATGGAGCTTTTCTCTGTTTCACGAGCTGTGATTGTTTTTCAATAACCAAACACATTACTGAAATAAGACACGTAACTATATAAAACAGAGTGATGAGACTAACGATCGATCCACTAAAATGAACCCACAAAACTTATCTTTATCACTTCTCAGGTATATACAAGTACTATGTATGTATAAGCGCCAACCTAGGCTCAAAGTACTTTGTATAATCATCGAACATCAAAAAAAAAAAAAAAAAAAAAAACCACGTTGAACAATCGCAAATAAATATCCAATTAGAAGCTTCTTCATGTAAGATTATGAATCAAAGCAATTGCACATTTTGCTGGCCTGATGGATTGGGAATTAAGAGGTCCTGTGCCATGGCCAGTGTAAGGAAGCTCATATTTAAATCCATTTATCAGTGCAGAAAAATGACCGATTCGGCGATCGATAACCTTATTGATCTGATTCCCAAGTCATTGCTCTACTTCTTGTTAAGTACGAATGCTATAATTTGCTAGCAGACTGTACTAAATAATTACTCTGCAAATGTGAATCTGTAAAAAGTCCTAAAGCTTAAGTATCTGAATACGGACAGGATCCTTTTGGCAAACCTCGGTAGTTGTCGGCCTCACCTCTAGAACAGGCAACTATTCCCGAAGCACATCAGCAGCAGTATAATCTCCTTGATTCCCATAGCAAGACAGGTTTTACTTTCAATAAGATACTAATCAGTTCAACTATAACTTTTACAGACCATTAAAAAAAAGAATAGAGCTCCAAAGATCTAGATCTAGATCTTTCCAAATGGGACTTCTTTATGAATTGAATATTGAATATTATTCGTGGACTGCAGTAATCTGCATATATTGTTTGCAGCTAGCACCTGTTTCAAAGTGATTTAAAATTGGCGATCTGGCGTAGGGGAATTAATTAGGATTATGTCCGATTATGGTTGGCCAAAGTGAAAGCTCGAACAGAGAGATCCGTCCGAGCCGCCTGTCTGCATTATTTCCAAGAGGCTGGAAAATGCCATTCGTTTAATGAGTAATCAATTTTATGTGCAGTTTTTCTCATTTCAATTTTTCACAGTTGCCATTAAATTATCTGGCAGAAATAATTTGATAGCCCGTTGAGGCTGGCGTCGATGCAGCCGCCCCACTCATTAAGACGTGGAAATCTCTTTTTAAATGCGACATTGCTGCCCGGTTTATAGCAGTTGATAAATCGCCAGCGACTGGCCACCTAAATGGCCGATGGACAGACGCAACAGTTGGCAGTTAGGAGTTGTGTAATCTTTGTGCGAGTTTTCTCCACAATTTCTGCAATTCAAAGAGAGCTTTTCCAAAGCGGGGGAAATGCGTAAGCGTTGGGTGTTTACTCGTAATTTAAGTGGCAGTGGCAGCTTGGGGAAGCTTTTGAGTTTTGAATCACTTAAATGCGGACAGTGTTGCAACAATTCTGCATTAATTGGCATTATTTTCCACGCCTTTTGGCCGCCGTCTCACTTCATTGCCCTTGAGCCGATCCCTCCCCTGCTCCAGTCTGCTGTCAGTCCACAATTGGATCGTTTTGTTGCCGCTTGTCGCGCTCGGTTGGTTTGTTTGTTGCTTTTATTGCTGCCCACATGCAAGTGGCAGAGTTGCAGACTCACAACTGCAGCTCACAACTGCCTCGCCCGGCTCCAAGCCAAGTTCACTCAACCAGTTTCGCTTTGATTGCCAGCGCGTTCGGTTGGGCTAGGTGCAGAGCTCGCTTGTTCCATTGCCGCCAAACCAAGCCGCAGCCAACTCCAGTCCAGAGTCAACGCACGCCAGCCTTTTGCGTAACAAGTGCGTGGCATGTCCAATTTCTGACGCACTCGCTCGCTGCACATCCTCAACAACAACAGAAACAACAACAACACCATCATCATCATCATCGTCTGCCATTGTGGTTGGTTTTAAGTGAAAGTGTTTATTTGATTTTCGGAATTCGCATTGCATTTAATAATTTCCGACCCGCTAACCACCTGCTGTTGATGAAAGGCGTGCGCCAACCCAAGACGACAGATCTGGGAACGCCTAGCCTTGGATCCAAGCCAAGAGCATCGAATTGAGAAACAGTTTTTGGTGGTGAGTGTCAGTTCCTTAAGGGGAAAAAGTGGCATTAGATAGCATGCAGAGAGGATACCAATATACTTGCAGGTAGCATTTCATTTCTTTACACAATGTTTCCACTAAAAAGAAATAGTAAACAAGCTTAAATCATAGACGTTACGAATTTCCTTAGAATTTCACACTTTCTATACACATTTTTAAAAACACATTTGATACCATGAAATACTGAGCCAGTTGTGGGCCACAAAGTGAATAGAATTCGCATGTTTTTTCCATTTTTGAAGCAAAAACGAAACATTAAACCAAACGAAACAATAAGGGCCTTTACAAAATACTGTATTTAACATAATTTTGATAGCTTTTCAATATCCAGCAACAGATGGACGGGTTTAAATTAGTCTCCACAGACTTACCAAATAATATATAATTTGATATCCGAACATAAGTGCTTACTGTTTGCTTCAGAAACTTGAAATGTATTCCAATTAAGTAGTATCAGAAATCCAGCTTGGAAGTAAAAGGAGAGTTTTCAAGCTTCCAGTTCACATTAGGGTGTGTCGCGACCTCTGCCCCCAACTGACGAGTTCGATGCCCAAACCTTAGTATAAATGCACAATATTTTGACACCACAAAACGTTCTCTCGTTCCACTTGCCACATCAACTTTTGTTCTACTGCCCGTAGCTATACATATACTCGTATAGCTGCTGGTCCGCCCAATATCAAAGCCATGGTTCAGTGCCATTGTCGTTACCTGCAGCCGCTCTAACAAGTTTTGAGCCCCCTTGTTAGAAATGCAACGGAAATGGCCATAAAATACTGTGTCAGAGCTAGGGGAGCGGAAATGGTGGCAATGCACGAGTTGAGGGCTCAATTAAATGCCAATTCTTCTGGGTGATACAGAAACTAACATATCCAGTGATGTTAAATACCCCGCGCACCTTCTAAACTTAAATACATACGACATACAGTGGGCATCATCGGATTTGAATAACTAGTTTTATCTGTCAGGCAAATCAAAGTAATTAAGTAATTTATTTCGATAAACAAAAACAAAAAAATTCAACTTAATGATCATATTTCGCCTTTAACAAATGAGCTGAAAGAGCTAATGCAAAAAAATCATTATTAATAAATAAACATAGATGTGTGATGATGGATCATCTTAGTCTTTAGTTTTGAGTTTAAATTAAAGTGTTCGTCATTCTTCAGTTTAATTTTTATACTATATAGTATAGTATAATGTTTGACTGTTTTAGCAAGAACGTATGCACCAGCAGAAGATGTCTATGTGACTAAAGCTTTTTGAAATTGGAAAAGCCTAGGAATGTACTGGGTTGCTCTCAGTTTAATAAATTGATAACGCCGTTTATGAATTAATGTTAGGGGGGAGTTTACAGATTTTAAAACTTTTAAGTGCTTACTCAATAACAAACAAATAAATCACTGCTGATAAGGCCTCTAAATGGGGCCTACCTAGCAGGAATCCCATTGGGACTTCCTTTCTAAGTGTTGGCAGCGGTTCGAATCAAAAATCGTGGACGACTAAAAAATTCTTCAACACGAAAACGGTGCCCAAGTAACATCAAATAAAAGAAAATACCTCTAAATATTATAAGCCATTTCTTAGGGCCACATAATTTATGAAAACTTAAATTAAAATTAACTTAAAATAAAGGAAAATACCTCTACATATTATTGTTTTTATAATTTACGAAAACAATAAACAACAGCTGCTTAAAAACATGAGTAGAACATAAGTTATAATTGAAAGAAAACTGCAGTTTCCCCAATTTAAATCATAAGTATTTATTTTTTTTGGGGCAACAAAAGTCTGAGAATGAACCACCGTGTGTTGTGGGAAATGCTGAAGCAAAAGTTTTGGTGCAAATACCAAAAGTTTCACTTTTCGCATTGCAATTTACATTTCCATTTAAGTACCTACACAGAAAAAAGGCAAACACCGCTGCCAAGTACAAGTACCAAGTGCCAAGTGCTGGCGCCTGAAAAGAGCGCGCGAGCGTGCGAGTGAGCGACTGAAAAGCGAAAGGTATCCATTACCTAAGCTGCCATTGATGCCAAGGGCCGCCCAGTTGTCAGAGCTGTCTTTGGCGTTGGCTGTGGCTGTGGCTGTGGCTTAATTGGACGCCTTTCTTTTCACCGAAATGGCCAATTTGCGCGCACTATTAACTCGAGTGCTTTTATTTCATTTGCAGATCTGCTCGCCGCTTGGGAGGATTTGCTTGGCTGGAGCGAGAATGCGGCCGCTGCGCGCCAATTGCAGCAGGAGATGAGCGTGCTGAAGCACACGCTGCAGCGTCTGGCTAATCAGCCCACGCTGGAGTTGTTGGACACAGAGCCAGCCATACAGGTGGCCATCGAGGCGTTGAAGGTAAGGCATGAAGCTGATCTCTTATGAACAACTTAACTTATTTCATCGACATTGCAGCAAGAGCAGACCCAGTTGGGCAGTTATCGCACGAATATGTTGCGTTTGAATGCGTCCGTGCACAGTTGGCTCACGCGCCAGGAGCGGCGTCTACAGAACGCTCTGGACGAGCAGCAACAGCAACAACAACAACAGTCCGAACAACAACATGAGGCAGTAGCTGCAGAGATGGAAGCTGAAGCTGAAGCTGTAGACTCTGCCAACAAACGCAGCACAACAATCACAGTGACCGACAGCAATGGCAATCAGGTGGAAACTCTGGCCATAGCCAGTGTTGCCGAGGCAGGCACAAGCACCCACAGCAACAGCAACAGCAATAACAACAACAGCAGTTCCAACACCGACAACAAAATGTGGGATGTTCAGACTTTGATGAGCGCCGAGCAGGAATTCCACAAACATTTGAAGGATGAAGTCAGCGACATGTACAGCGCCTGGGATGAGGCAGACGCCAGGTAAGAGATAGGCTGGACACTCAATTAGAGTTATGGCTCTTCAATTCGATTCGGATAAATCCAATTTAGTTCATTATTGTGTTTTAACTCCCAACTGCGATGCTTTTCATACAGACTTACTCGTATATAAAATTATTTTACAAGAAAGGTCTTTCCTTCGGTTGTTTAATCCATCATGTTTATAATTGTCTAGTGGGAGTTGTTATAATATTAAAATGTGATTGAGATATCTTTCCATATGATAAGGTAGATATAATGCCGCTAAATGGTTTAACATAAACAGATTATTTGCTGCTAATCTTTTCCGTACTAGCAGTCCTTTGATCTCTTTATAGACACTCATACTAGTTGGTAAAAATAGTTGTCTGTAGGAACTACGATAGATCATATCACTACAAGAAATGCACATTCGGTGCGATGGGCTTTTTCCTTACCCAAAGGATTTATCAGTCCCCACAAACGAAAATATACCTACTCTTCCGAGTACTAGAAAGCACATATTTATATTGGCACGGTCAGACAGACAAATAATCGCCAACCAAATTTGTCGACAAAGAGTTTATTCCATCAAACATATGACTGTTGACATAGGAGGAAAATATATATAAATTATAAAAAGCATCTTATAAGCTAGAAAAGCCTAAGAAGGAGAAACTTAATCAAATTACAAGAATATCTAATTAACGCCTCCTAGATCTACCGATATAAAAAAGAAACACTTAACAGAGAGATGAAGCTTAGAATTAATTAAAAACTAATTTAAAAAATAAAAATAAAATAATATTGAATCTCAGACCCGGTGGGGGAAGATTTATTTGTAAGTATATAGTATTGGTATTGCTTTTGATTAAATAATCATATGAGTTACGATTAACATACATGTATTATAAATTAATGTATAAACCTAGAGGATTTATCAATTTGAAGAAGCAGAACTCTAATATAAATGTAATTGAAATATTAAATACCCGTCATATATTAATATTTGCATCATCCGTCCTCCGCACAGAATCAACACGCAGCTGGAGATGCTAACCAACTCGCTGATTGCCTGGAGGCAACTGGAATGTGGACTTTCCGAATTTCAATTGGCTTTGGGCCAGGATCGCGGAACACTGAAGGGACTGGAGGGTGCTCTGGATAAGGGACAAACAACGGCGGTGGAGTTGGCCCAAAATGTCAAGCTGGTGGCCAAGCTGCTCTCGGAGAAGGTGCATGTCAGCCAGGAGCAACTGCTGGCTGTCCACGAGCATCTGGACCCCAATCACATCTTCCACATAGCCAAGTTCACTGCCTCCAACGGTTCTTTGTCCGACTCGGGCATTTCGGATGGCGGTGCCACCTCCGACGGTGGCCTGTCTGAGCGTGAGCGGCGCCTCGGTGTGCTGCGACGTCTGGCCAAGCAGCTGGAGTCTGCGCTGGCACCAGGCAGCGAGGCCATGCGTTCCATAGCCGCACGCATGGAATGCGCCGAAGCGGAACTGAAGCAACTGCAGACAACCTGTCGCGACTTGATTGTGCGCACCGCAGCCTCGCATCAGAACAAAAAGCAGCAGCAGCAGCAGGAGCTAGAGCTGGAGGCTGTAGAGCAGACGACACGCAAGATGAATGGACATGCTGGCGGGGCCAAAAAGCATCAACAATCCTCGCCCCACGGCTCGCCCTCGAAGCGCAAGAACAAACGCCGAGCACGCCAAGCGGCCGCGTCTGCAGCTGAGGGCGAGGAACAGGTCGACGGTGCCTTGGAGAGGCGGCGAGCAAAGAAGGCTGGCGGTGCAGCATCGGACGCTCTTGTGGCTGCCGGCGGCGATGGCGGTGATCCCTACGATGACCCCGCCCTGGAGTATGGAAGCGATAGCGCTGATGGCGACGACAGCGATGATGCGAGCAAATCGCGACGTCGAGGCTGGGCCTGGCGCATTGCCAAGGCTGCTGTGCCCATGCAGCTGGCTTTGTTTACCTTCTTCTGCGCCGCCTGCCTCATGCAGCCGAACTGTTGCGACAATCTGAACAATCTGTCGATGAGTTTTACGCCACAGCTGCGCTATATACGCGGTCCGCCACCGATTTGAGCGGCCGGAGCGCCCCAGAAGCGCCGCTCTTTTAGTAGGCATCTAATTTACGTATTAGGAATTTAACAGTTACATTTAACAGTTAGGTTCGCACGCCCAGCAGGATCCACAGCGGTCCGCTAACAAGCCGCCAGAAAGTAGCGCGCGTTCGCCGCGCGACTACGACGCGTTTTTATGAAACGGACGCCAGCGGCAAACAATTTAGAGATTTCTGTTGTTTTCAATCGATGATAATGAGACAGAGTGGCGCATTAAAGCGCACTCATAATTTTTACGTCCACTGGCAACTCAATCTGCAGAGAGAGACAATGCCGAAACAAAAATGTTGCTCTTAAATTTAAAAAAAGAAAATGAAGTTATGCTTACTTAAGTTATTTGTACTTTCACTTACCCGTATTCTCTACCAGTTTAGTTGTCGTTCCTTAGACTTGCGCACTAAATTTATGTAAATGTAAGTCCAGGCAAAAGTTCAGGCTCAAGCGGAACTCTGCGAAACGAGCTGAGGCCCACATAGGACGCCCGCCTCAACCCACAGAGTGAACATGAACAAGAAAAATGTACTTATAGATGACTCATCATATCGATCAACAAACATATGAATGCATATGATTTATATATCTAGCAACGATGCGATCCCCATGGAGCATCAACCCAGTTAACTAAATGCAATTTACAACCATACCGTTTATATTTCGTAGCATTTTTGTAAACTTTTTTGTTTGAAAAACACTAAAGTGCCTGCAACGGAATGTGGAAATGTGAAGCGCGCACAGAGCGCCAGGATGATTGATGATCGATGATCTGATCCCAAAAAAGATCGAGCAATCAAGGCAACGAAGCAACAAGAAGCTAAGCCAAGCCAAGCCAAGAGCCACCCAATCAACAATAAACTGAGGCATCGCCCAGTTAACAAAATGGGCAGACTGTAATAAAAACAAAAGAATTGGAGTGAACTAGAGTTTCTATTTTTATACACAGATCGATTTACACAAAACACAAAAACATACAAACAATTCGCACACGTGTAGACACACAGAGTCACTGTGGGCGAATTACTTTCAGTTATTTTCACTATCTATTTAATCATTTTTATGTCTATTATATTAATAGGATAAAAGTAATTCAAGTTCGCAAGAAAATTACTGCTTAACGAGATCCGTAAAAACGAAATTAAGAATATGAATCGCATGTCTTGACAGGAACCGAGACAACAGATTAATAAGAAACACAACTAAATTACTTAATGGATTCGGATTGTAATTGTAGTTTTTATATAAGTTTCGCATTCTTGTGAGTTTTTCAATTTTCATGGCAACAATAAAGCGCTAAAAAAAAAATATGGAAAGAATTTGTCTTTATTTTCTAAATTTTCCGAGGTTGAAATCAATGTTTTGTTTTCAAGTCATACAAACAAATATTTTAGAAATCTGATGTACTACAAGTATATGGGTTTTGTTGGTATTTTGCTGCATAAAAATTGCATATCAAATATCTCACAGCTTATACACATAAGTATGTTAAACAAAAAGTTTTAAATTTAAAATTGTGGTTGACTTAAGTCGAAAAGACTTGGGAAACACCTCCATCCCCCGTTTTAATCTGTCTTATTATTATCAGTTTTTAGAAAAAAATCATCCCTAACAGTACTGTCCGAAAAGATTTGTTTTTCACTGTAGGGAGAAATCAAATTTCTTTTTTGTTTCAAATTCCGTGTGCTGGCGGCCCGCCAACAAGTGCACCCATTTCAAAGGCCTTTCACATACGAATTAGTTCGTCCAACTTGTTCGGTTCGACGAAATGTTTTTTCTTCATGCCAGGGATGCCAGCTTCGCCCCCCCCTGCTATAGCCCTTGGAGAGTGGTAAAAGAGAAATAAGAGCTTAAGAAAAAATCCTGAAAAGAGCCAAATATTTATACTCTGTACATGAAATGTACAAGAGTATATTAGGTTTGCGGGAGCTGAAAAATGTAACAGGCAGAAGGAGGCGTGGCAGACCCCACAAAGTATATATATTATTGATCAGCGTGACAAGACGAGTCGATCTAGCCCTGTCTGTCTGTCTGTCCGTCTGTCCGTCCGTATGAACACCTGGATCTCAGAGACTATAAGAGATAGAGACACCAAATTTTCCACAAAGATGCGTTATGTGTGTATTCTATACGAGTTTGTTTTATTTTTTTGATTTTCCCCCCCACTTCCCCCCTATGGGGGTTTTCCCGATTTCCATTCGTATAATCGCCTATATCTCGGAGACTATAAGACCTAGGCACACCAAATTTTAGTCCAAGATGCCTTGTGTGAATACGCAGAAAATGTATATTTTGGAATTCCCCTCCCTCCCCCCTCTCCCCCGCAAATGCGATTGTCTCGAACTCCCGTAATTCTTGGAATTTCGAACTAAAATTTTGCAAATACCCCCAGTTAGTAATTATGTGTCCGTATGCCAAGTTTCACTATGATAGACCGATTTACCAAAAAGTGATAGCCATAAATATATTTGCTGCTGCAGCGCTGCTCAAGCGCTGCCCGCGGCTGTTGTTGATGTTGCTGTTTGGTTGACTGCGAAAATGCTTACACAGACACGAATTGATGCGCATAGGCATACATACACTCACACAGACGCAATTGCTATGTAAATGTGCAATTATACACCCTTTACGTGAGTTCGAATACCGAGAGAGGTAAAATCGATCCAATTTTTTTTTCTTTTTTTATTTTTTTTTTTATTTTCTATAATTATTGTAAACATATGTACAGAGTATTTCAAAGTCAAAAGTTTATTAAAATTATGGTCATGTTGTTTAATCTATTTGTACTTAAGGAACATTTATAATTTAATACAATTTAACGACATTATCGCTTAAATCGCCCCAGTATGACAAAGTTGTTCCAATTAAATCCATACTATTTGGGAGAAATATGGTAGTTTTGTTTAAGGAGCATTGTCAAATATCGATCAAAATAATAATGAAGCTGCAATTTTTCCATACTTATTACATAATTATCACAATATGTATTACAAACAAGAGAGAACACTACAGTCGAGCAAGCCCGACAGTGTAATACCCTGTACCCAGGTAAACTTCCGTCACTGAGTTATATGCGCCCATAGCAGCAGCAAAAAGAGGAAGAAGAAGAGCAAACTTGTTGCTGCAGTTTGAGGGGGTTGTACTGGCGAGAATTTGTTTTGCTAATAACTTTTCTTAGAATTGACCGAATTGAATAAAATTTTTAACAACAGTAGACAATTATATAAAAATTATGTGTGCAAAGTTTGGTTTAGGTAGCATTTGAAATGTGAAACGAAATTCTGTAGCGGGGGAAGGGGAGGAAAATTAAAAAAAATAAAATAAACTCGTCCTTACTCGGACCTAGGAGAATCTGGATGCCAACTTTGGTTATTCTAGCTTTTATAGTTTCTGAGATCCTTGCGTTCATCCAGACGGACGGGCAGACGGACGGACGGACATATCTAGATCGATTTCTCTCGTCATGCTGATTCAGAATATATATACTTTATGGGGTCGGAGATGCTTACTTCTGCATGTTACATACTTTGCACAAACCTAATATACCCTTTTTACCCTACGGGTACAGGGTATAAAAAGCTAAATATATTTTAGAAAAAGTCGGAATTCAAAAACAGCCAGATTTTGACGGGGAAAAAGCCAAATTGGCATCTCTGGACAGTGGAGGTGTTCGCGTCCGATTTTAATGTTCGACACATTGTTCGCGAAGAATAAAAATGGTTCTATGTTGCGTGTGTTCGTGCGAACATGTTAGTTAATGGATGGCATTGGTTGGACGAACATCGTTTGTGAAGTGTTTTCTGAATGAACACGTCGCAAAATGAACAACGCGTTTTTACTCGAATTTATTAAATGCCTGGAAAGTCTGCCTGCATTGTGGAATAATAAAAGTGATGAATACAAAAATAAAAATTTGCGCAATAAATCATGGCACAAATTACTCAAAAAGCACCAAGAATATTACAAAGAGGCTGATATGGAAATGGTGAAGAAAAAAGTAAATTCACTGCGCGCTACATACAGACGCGAGCTAACCAAAATAAAAAGGAGCGAAAAGTCAGGGGCCCGAGGTGATGATTTATATAAACCACGTTTATGGTACTTCGAGGATTTAAGTTTTCTACACCACCAGGTTGTTAAACCCAAACACAATGTCTTTCTATTAACACCGGGTACTTTTCATTTTTAGCCAAAAACTAAAAAGCGTAAGCGCTATGATAGCCACCATGAGGTGCTGGAAAAACCAGTGCAGCACAATGCGAATTATAAAAATCAAAGGGACGACGCAGATGTTTTCGCTGAAGGATGGGCTGTAATCTTCAGACAATTATCGAGGGAGCAACAAATTTTCGCCAAAAGAGGAATAGACGAACTCCTTATGCAAGGCCAACTGGAGATGCTGACATACAGTAGTGTGCCCAATGGTCTGGCAAATCACGACAATTTTTTAGTTGATGATGTTCGTAAACAAGCTTCGCCCAATTAGTGGGAATAGCTTGCTAAAAGCTTTCTGCTAGTACGTGGATGTGAAATATACATATGCGTGAGTACATTTGTTCATGCTTTATTGCGCAAATTTTAATATTTGTTATCTTCAGTTTTATTAAAGTCCAACTTTTTGTTGAAATGAACAAATTTGACGAGCAAATTCGAGAATGGTTGGCCTACTTTAGCAGATTCTTCTAGCGAAGGCATCGCGGTATTTGCTAGTATTAATCGGTGCTGCCATATTGTTCACAATTGATGCATCAGCCCTACTGGACCAATCCGGACGGTACTACAATACTAATACTTTTTTGTTTAAAGTATATCAAAATGTAATCTTTAGAAGAAGCGTCAATTTTGAATTGTGTTTAACAGATGATTTCGCTGTTCACTGCTAGCTAATTTAACTAAAGCAAACAAAATGTAACAATGCTTTAAATGGTCAAATTTTAAACCACTTTAGCAACCCAAAGAACATTTTTTTTTTTTTAATTTTCACATGCATTTTCTGTTTATAAGATAACTGTGGCTAGTGTTTTGCGGAAATTTAAAATATAAAGTTATTTGTCTAATATAAATTATATTGCATACCGCACACAAAAAAAAACATTCTTTAATGCTGACTCGTTTTCATGTCATTTAATTTTACTCAATAAAAATGGATAAGTGTGGAGATTTTATACACAAATATTGAGGAGCTGTTTCAAATAATTGAATTGTTAGTGAAGCTAGTATTTCACGCCAATGCAGACATGGTATTTATAATTGCATCGATAGTCCTAATCGATAAGATTATCGACAAGCCGGTTAATCGGGGCCGGTTCCTGCACTTACCAGCCGTAAATTATTTGTTTGGACTTTGTTTTGGTTTGACTGTTTTGGTTTAGAGTTCTGCGTATGTACTTATCCGTGTAGTTATCTAACATTTGCGACTAATTATGCTTCATAACTGACAAGTGATAGCAAATTAAAAACACTGATGCCGGCAATTATGCAGCCAATAGTTCAAATGCTCATAATAGTAGCGGCAACCGCCGTATCGTCATCGGCGGCGACGCCGATAATGGACACGGTATATTTGAATCCTGGAGCTTTCATTGATGTGACAGGAAATGTTTATGGAGCCCATACCCTGCGCACTTATTGTTACATGGGCAAGCGACTCTCCTTACTGAGTATGTTCGAGACCACAGAGTTTGTACTCTCCATACAAAACGAAGACTACACTGAATATGGAGGACGCACGCCAAAGGAAGTGATGGAGCACTACAATGAGCAGCGCTCGCTCTTTAGCTTCACACTCTTCTCGCAGAAGCGCCAACGTGTGCAGCTGTCACCCTTCGAGCAACAATGCATTGGCGTGGTCACCAAAGAGCCCTACAAAGTGGGTCTGAAACATGTACCGCTAGATCTGTGGCGTTTTATGCAACTAGCCGTGGGCATCATGGTTTTCTGCAGTGCTGGTGGGCTCGCAAAAAACAACGTATTCTACTATATGGCCGGAATTGTGTTGGGCATTTGTGCCTCCTTGCTGGTGATTATAGCACTCACAGCCAAGTTGTTTCCAAAGTAAGTGCACAATTTCGGCTAATTGTTAAAATTATGTAATTCCGTGCAATGCTATTCTTGCAGGCGACCTATGATGTATGGCGTGCTCATTGGAGGATGGACGATTGGTTTCTACATACTTAAACAGCTGATGGACAACATGCGTGTCATATTACTGACCTATCGGGAATACGTGTTGGGCTATTTGATAGTCACTGGCCTTATATCATTTCTGGTTTGTTACCGCATTGGTCCACCCCGCAATCCTCGCTCGCAGAACATCATCAAGTGGGTGTTGCAAGCCGTGGGCGGGGCACTTGTATACTTTAGCAGCTGGCATACCAGCGCCGCCATAGCGCTAATGGTGATCACATTTGTGGTCCATTACTTTCCGCACTCGGTGCTACTCTACCTGAAAAACGCCTATCGTCGTAGATTCCCACCTAAGCGCCGCCTGCTCACTATGGACGAATACTATCAGCAAAGCGTGGAGGAAACTGCCCGTTCCATGGCTGAGCTGCGAGATTTTGTGAACAGCCCCAATTGCCGGCAGTGGAGTGTAAGTAGTTCCTTATAAAATCTACAATGAAATGTAACTAATTATCTTTGCTTTCTTTAGCTCATGAGCCGTTTGCGCAATCCAACGCGTTTTGCCAACTTTGCGAATGGTGCGCCGCATTTGGATGATGAGGAAATCGAGGATTACTCACGCGCCATTGAGGATGAGCTCGAGGGCCCTGATGTTGATGATGATTATTTACAGTGTAACATGTACTATCGGCCAACGGCGCAAAGAGCATTACGTTACACATCTTCAGCGCGTCAATATGCACAGCGTGAGGATAGATATGACGATGATGATGAAGACGACGAGAATAGCGACGAAACTGAAACGGAAGACTACGACAACAACTAAACAGAGACTAAGAATATGTAGTTATTTATTTTGTCCATTTATTAACTATGCCGAAATGATTTTGTATATTGCTACTTAAGAGAACTGAAATCCAAACTCATTTTCTATTGACGTGCTGCCTAATCTTGAACGATTATTGCATAATAAGAATAATTCTTTGCGTGCGTGTCTTCGTATAATTATAAATGTAAAGATAGTTAATTCATATGTAAAAATGTTGTAATGTAACGATTTCAAATATGTCCAGGGTTTCTTTTATGTACAAATACCCCAAGCGAAAGGCACAATCCAAAATGTAACTCAATTGCCAGCTAGTGGGAATAAGATTAAGAACTGATTGAAAAGAAACAAAAATAATTAGACATGATTAAAGTTTAATTGAAAAATGCTTAAACGTGAACTTAGTACATCAACCCGAAAAGTCTATACTTAATGAAAGACATGGACTCGCCAAATCGGACTATATCGTATTCATTTCAAAACTTAGTGCCCTTTCAAATGGCCAACATTTAACATGATTGAACGAATACCTCGAAACGTTTCTGGTTTGTTACCTTAACTGTACAATATAGCCTACATATATATTTTAAATTGTAAGCTTAGTAATAATGGAACTAGTGTTGTCCTTTGCTAGGCAAGGCATTAGTACAGATTAACATCTTTAACATAATATGTAATGATGTCTGGCGGGGGAGAGACAATTAAAAATTGTATACTTGACTTTGATTGCTGCAAAAGATTCCTAAGCATGCAACTAAGAAACTAAGTGACGAAAAATGAAGACTACAACTCACATTATTTTTGATATCAAATCATTCTACGTAGCAGTTAAATGGGAAAATATATAGTATTTAAGAATTTCATTTTCAATGTTCACGTTATTCTGAATATAAAATAACACTCGTCTCGATGCAAAATTTCTTTTTATAAGCTATACTCTTACATACATATGTATAAAACAGTTTTTTTCTGGCTGACTGACTGATTGCTGATCAACCCACAGCCCAACCCATAAAAGCTAGGATGGTGAAAATTAGAAATCCGATTAACTTTAAACATGGTTTATTTACTTTTAGAAGCAATATAAAATAAACTGAAATTACGATAAAGCTGTACGACCTTGCATTCCCATAACATAATAATTTATGGATATAATCAGGAGAAAATCTTAAAAATTCAACTCAGTTCCATTTTGAAGTGAAATAGTGCGCCATAATAATTAACATCAGATTGCTAAAATTAGTTTGGCAAGATTTAGGGTGGTTGGAGAGGGTGAGAGTGGGGGAGGGGGGTTTCAGTTTCCGTTTGGGCATACAATTTTGATAAACAGCTTGATTACAACTAGAACAGTTTCTTTTCCGTATACCATGTTATCGGACCGGTCCCTGGAAAAATAGCACAACTGGCGCTTTCAGTTGGCTTTGGCGTTCTCAACATTAAGCTAAACCGCGGATAAATGTAAAATTGCGAGACCAGAAGCGATAAGAACTGAAAGCATTTGAAATTTTTTGGTGATTACAAGTAGTATTGAATCTTTGGTGAGGCAATTGAAATATTCTCGGAACACAATATTTTATTTAACCATTTAAAGTCGTGACTTTTGGCATTTCCCCAGAACGATGACACTGAGAACGACAATACTCGTCTTTTATATAGTCAGCTATTTGAATGCCGAGATAAATGCCCATAATTCATCCAGGTGTGATTTTTTTGATTCCGTTGATCTGACGAATGCCCGGAAACTTGAAAATGGTTCCTATGTGTTTCAAGACATTCTGATTCCAGCAGAGTTAACGTTCACGCACGTGGAAGATCAGACTAGTATACGGGGATGTGTTTGTGAAATCAAGCCATGCATCAACTTTTGCAGCCCTGCAGTAGGCCCCCAGGAGTCCCTCAGCTGGGTTGTGAAAATGAAGGATGGGACTGTTGTCAATAAACGCCTTGAAGACGTGTTTGCCTTACAACGGGGCAGTACCATACCATGCGATGAATATAATTCGCTAAATATTGTACGCTGGGAATTGCTTGAGGTAAGAATAAGAAGGTTTATTATTCTATTACTGTCGTAATATTTCTTGTTTGTTAGAATGGTTCTGTGGCTTTCCAAAATTCGGACAAAGGACATACAAGTATGTCGATATTATTAAAACAGAGTTACTGTTTCGAGTTGGATGTGGATAATCGAACTCTTGTTGCTCGATATTGTCAAAATATTGAAAGGAACTTGTACACTATTGTGACAAACTGCAGTAAGTGAAGAGTGAGTTTGTGGCGAATTAGTTAAAGTTACAATGTATTCATTTTCAGTGCTACTGGTCTCAATATTCTTCTTGGCGATAGCCCTTGCTATATATACTTTTTTATCAGCTCTACAGAAACTCTTTGATAGGTGCTGCGTATGCTATTTGGCTTGCCTTACAGTAGGTTTCATATTTTTGAGCGTCGACAAATGGGAAATAGCTTCACAGGAGAGCAAGGTTCGCAGAGGTACCGATTGATTTTGATTTTATTTGATCCAGTCTCTCACGATACGGTTTTCAAAAAATTGTTTTCTTTCCCTTGTAGGTCAAATTGGATATTTCGCAGTAATGGGCGCATTTCTTTGGATGTCAGTTATTTGCTTCGATATGTGGAAAAACATGACCAGCAATGGGGTCCAAGCTTTATCTCAAAATCGGTTTAGAAAGTACAGTATCTATGCTTGGGGCTCAGACACATTTCTACTTGTAATAGCGATCCTGGCCGACCATTTTGTTACAGACGATGATTGGAAACCAAACTTTGGCTTGTATTCCGGTTGGATAACAAGTAATGTTACTGTATTGGCACTTTTTATACTCTGTACATGAAATGTACAAGAGTATATTAGGTTTGCGGGAGCTGAAAAATGTAACAGGCAGAAGGAGGCGTGGCAGACCCCACAAAGTATATATATTATTGATCAGCGTGACAAGACGAGTCGATCTAGCCCTGTCTGTCTGTCTGTCCGTCTGTCCGTCCGTATGAACACCTGGATCTCAGAGACTATAAGAGATAGAGACACCAAATTTTCCACAAAGATGCGTTATGTGTGTATTCTATACGAGTTTGTTTTATTTTTTTGATTTTCCCCCCCACTTCCCCCCTATGGGGGTTTTCCCGATTTTCCATTCGTATAATCGCCTATATCTCGGAGACTATAAGACCTAGGCACACCAAATTTTAGTCCAAGATGCCTTGTGTGAATACGCAGAAAATGTATATTTTGGTATTCCCCTCCCTCCCCCCCTCTCCGCCGCAAATGCGATTTTCTCTAACTCCCGTAATTCTTGGAATTTCGAACTAAAATTTTGCAAATACCCCCAGTTAGTAATTATGTGTTAGCGCTGCCCGCGGCTGTTGTTGATGTTGCTGTTTGGTTGACTGCGAAAATGCTTACACAGACACGAATTGATGCGCATAGGCATACATACACTCACACAGACGCAATTGCTATGTAAATGTGCAATTATGCACCCTTTACGTGAGTTCGAATACCGAGAGAGGTAAAATCGATCAAATTTTTTTTTTTATTTTCTTAATTTTTTTTTTTTCTATAATTATTGTAAACATATGTACAGAGTATTTCAAAGTCGGGACACCCGACTTTAGCTTTTTTACTTGTTTCATTTGTAATTATACTCTGTACATGAAATGTACAGAAGTATATTAGGTTTGCGGGAGCTGAAAAATGTAACAGGCAGAAGGAGGCGTGGCAGACCCCACAAAGTATATATATTCTTGATCAGCATGACGAGACGAGTCGATCTAGCCCTGTCTGTCTGTCTGTCCGTCTGTCCGTCTGTCCGTCTGTCAGTCTGTCCGTCTGTCCGTCTGTCCGTCTGTCCGTCCGTATGAACACCTGGATCTCAGAGACTATAAGAGATAGAGACACCAAATTTTGCACAAAGATGCGTTATGTGTGTATTCTATACGAGTTTGTTTTATTTTTTTGATTTTCCCCCCCATTTCCCCCCTATGGGGGTTTTCCCGATTTTCCATTCGTATAATCGCCTATATCTCGGAGACTATAAGACCTAGGAACACCAAATTTTAGTCCCAGATGCCTTATGTGAATACGCAGAAAATGTATATTTTGGAATTTCCCTCCCTCCCCCCTCTACCCCGCAAATCGTAACTCCCGTAATTCTTGGAATTTCGAACTAAAATTTTGGAAATACCCCCAGTTGGTTATTATGTGTCCGTATGCCAAGTTTCACTATGATAGACCGATTTACCAAGAAGTTATAGCCATAAATATATTTGCTGCTGCAGCGCTGCTCAAGCGCTGCCCGCGGCTGTTGTTGATGTTGCTGTTTGGTTGACTGCGAAAATGCTTACACAGACACGAATAGATGCGCATAGGCATACATACACTCACACAGACGCAATTGCTATGTAAATGTGCAATTATAAACCCTTTACGTGAGTTCGAATACCGAGAGAGGTAAAATCGATCAAATTTTTTTTTATTTTCTTAATTTTTTTTATTTTCTATAATTATTGTAAACATATGTACAGAGTATTTCAAAGTCGGGACACCCGACTTTAGCTTTTTTACTTGTTTAAATTGTGTTTTACAACAGCCAATGGTTGGTCTGCAGTAATATATTATTATGGACCGATGACGCTTATAATAGTCTGCAACATAGCAATGTTCGTATTAACGGCTGTGGAACTTCTTCGGCAGGAGAAATTTATTAGAAACAGTTTGGGGACTCAGCTTCAACGAGCTTTGAAAACCAAAAGAAAGACGTATGTCATCTGGAAGAATCACCAGACTTATTTTATTTTTTTACTTATCGTCTTCAATTTCAGTCTCTGTACGTTTTCGAAACTGTTTGTGTTGATGGGTGTGACTTGGCACTTGGAAATCCTTTCTTATCTATGTAAGACAAATTCTATAACAATTATTGGAGACCTCATTAACTCGGCACAAGGGTTGTATATATTCGTGGTGCTAGTTTTGAATAAGACAGTATTAAAGCATCTTCGTAAACGGTAAGAATATTTAATCTTTAATTAAAGTCATATTATATCTCCCTTCGGTACATATACTGTATATTTTTCATTCAGGTTATGCCCTTCTCGAATACTGTGAAGAATAAACCGAAAAACCAATGTAAATGTTGAATACGCAACGTTAAAAATGTATCAATCAAGAAATTGTAAATATGATATTGAAAAAAGTTTATTATAAAAGAAATAAAACAAGAGAAAAAACCAATGTCGAGCATGCCCGATATTGAAATACCCTGTGTAAAAGTAAAAAGTTAAAAAAAACTCAAACTCGTAGTTTATCGGACATTGGAAAAACTGAATACGAGGTGTGATTACGCTAGCTCTTATACTTTCTGAGATCCTTGCGTTCATACGGACGGACAGACGGACATGGCTATATCGAGCCTTTTTGTCATACTGATCAAAAATAAATAATGGGTGTCTGCCACGCCTCCTTCTGTGAGTTACATACATCCGCACAAAACTAGTATTTCTTACTAGGGTTTCTTACTATTTAAAAAACAGATCCCAAGAGTAGAACTTGGGTCATTTTGGAATCAAATTGGGAAATTACTTCTGGTTAATGCTTATGTGTCCGAATATCGCGTTTCATCATGCTAGGTCAAATGTTAAGGAAGTTATAGTCATAAACCCAAGATTTGTTGTTGTTGTTGCTGGTTTGCCACAACTAAGCACTGAAGACATGCACAAACACATTAATACTCATACACATTCCAAAAAATAAAATAAACTCGTCCTTTCTCGGACCTAGGAGAATCTGGATGACAACTTTTGTTATTCTAGCTTTTATAGTTTCTGAGATCCTTGCGTTCATCCAGACGGACAGACGGACGGACAAGTCTAGATCGATTGCTCTCGTCATGCTGATTCAGAATATATATACTTTATGGGGTCGGAGATGCTTCCTTCTGCATGTTACATACTTTGCACAAACCTAATATACCCTTTTTACCCTACGGGTACAGGGTATAACAAGTAAAAAAGCTAAAGTCGGGTGTCCCGACTTTGAAATACTCTGTACATATGTTTAGAATAATTATAGAAATTAAAACAAGAGAGAACGCTACAGTCGAGCAAGACCGACAGTGTAATACCCTGTACCCAGGTAAACTCCCGTCACTGAGTTATATGCGCCCATAGCAGCAGCAAAAAGAGGAAGAAGAAGAGCGAACTTGTTGCTGCAGTTTGGGGGGTTGTACTGGCGAGAATTTGTTTTGCTAATAACTTTTCTTAAAATTGACCGAATTGAATAAAATTTTAAACAACAATAGACAATTATATATAAATTATGTGTGCAAAGTTTGGTTTAGGTAGCATTTGAAATGTGGACGCTATTGACGAAATTCTGTAGCGGGGGAAGGGGGGGAAAATTAAAAAAAATAAAATAAACTCGTCCTTACTCGGACCTAGGAGAATCTGGATGCCAACTTTGGTTATTCCAGCTTTTATAGTTTCTGAGATCCTTGCGTTCATCCAGACGGACGGACCGACGGACAGACGGACGGACAGACGGACGGACATGTCTAGATCGATTTCTCTCGTCATGCTGATCAAGAATATATATACTTTATGGGGTCGGAGATGCTTCCTTCTGTATGTTACATACTTTGCACAAACCTAATATACCCTTTTTACCCTACGGGTACAGGGTATAAAAAGTAAGAGAACTAAAAACAAAATTTTTAATCGATTTTACCTCTTTTGGTATTCGATCTCACGTAAAGGGTGTATTATTGCACATTTACGTAGCAATTGCGTCTATGTGAGTGTATGTATGTTTATGCGCGCCTATTCGTGTCTCTTATAGTCTCTAAGATCCAGGTTTTCATACGAACATATAAAGTTGACCACACGTCCATTATTATGAAGCACTATTTCGCCTTAAAATGGATCTGAGTCGGATTTGTTGAAGTTTTTTCATATGTTCATTTTTGCATAACTTATTTTTTAAATGCATCGTTCATTATTTAATCAAAATTTAAATTTTTTGGCCCCCCCTTTGGTAAAAGCTGCCTACGCCCTTGTTTATACCCCACTATGATTAACATTATAAATGACTAACCTAACCGCACCTTTCCCTCTTTAGTAGGCGTTTGCAAGCTCTATGTTTTACAGTCCAGTTCTTATTAAGACGGAAACACGGGTACACGGCATTTTGCTTTTTGCATGATTGTGATATAATTTTAACTTAAAAATTATTATTATTATTTTTTAATTCTTCAATAATGTGAGTATCTTTAATCAAATTAAGGATCTATACCTTCTTGATTATTTCATGTTAGTTGGGTCGACGAAAAGGTCGATGGTTTAAAGTTAGGATAAGTTAATTATATAATGTATTTATATATTTCCAGAGAATAATGGCTCGGATCGCGCTTTTTATCTTTAGCATACTCATTTGTGGGTTACGAGCTCATGATTCAACCAGATGTGATTATTTTGATTCCGTTGATCTGACGAATGCCCGGAAACTTGAAAATGGTTCCTATGTGTTTCAAGGCATTCTGATTCCAGCAGAGTATACGTTCAAGCACGTGGAAAATCAGACTAGTATACGGGGATGTGTTTGTGAAATCAAGCCATGCATCAACTTGTGCAGCCCTGCAGTAGACTCCCAGGGGTCCCTAAGCTGGGATGTAAAAATGAAGGATGGGAATGTTGTCAACAAACACTTGGAAGATTTGTTTGCCTTACAGCCGGGCAGTAACATGCAGTGCGATTGGTATTATGATTTCGATCCTGCGAATAAATCAGAGGATATGTGGGAACTGCTTGAGGTATGCTTGACCAAGATAATTAGCTGTTATAACACGTAGTATTATTATGTTTGGCTTTCAGAATGGTTCCTTGGCTGTTCCGCATGCTAAGCCATCTCCTATACTCCCAAAACAGATGTACTGTTTCGTTTTCCATGTGAATAATGGCACCCTTATTGCCAAAAACTGCATTAGGAAAATCCGGCCCTACGACTTTCCGCAAAACTATAGTAAGTACGGAGCACGTTTGGGTGGATTTTTAAATAGTTGATTTTATTTTATTTTTATGATTTCAATCGTTTTTAGTACTGTGGGTGTCTATATTCTTCTTGGGGATAGGGATTATTACATATTTCCTAATACCGAAGCCTCGGGACATCTTGAATATGTGCTTCGTACGCTATTTGGCTTGCCTTACAGTAGGTTTCATATTTTTGGGGGTCGACAAATGGGATATAGCTTCCAGGGCGAGCCAGCCTCGCAGAGGTACTCTCTGGTATTGTTTAATTTGATCTCGACATCATAATTTGATCAACTTATTTTCTTTTAAGCTCAAATTGGATATTTTGCCGTAATGGCCGCGTTTCTGTGGCTTTCTGTTATTAGCTATATTCTATGGAAAACATTAACTTCCAAAGGCAGCCACTGCCTCCTGGCTGAGACTGGATGTAAAAAATACAAATTGTATGTTTGGGGAACAGCCACCGTATTACTAGTTGTGTCAGTCTTGGCCGACAATTTCGTCAGCAAATCTAAGTGGAAACCCAACTTTGGTGCCTATTCTGGCTGGATCGCAAGTAATGTATGCATTATCCATTATCGAAATTTGTTCACTCTTGCAATTCGTTTCCTCTAACTACGCGTACTTAGCTGATAGTGTGTCTGCGCTCATCTACTATTATGGGCCTATGTCCCTTTTGATATTCGGCAATATAACCATGTTCGTACTGACGGCTGTGGATCTTATTAAAACGGGAATAACAATCCAAATCAAATCAGTGTAAACAAGGAGCAGCAAAAGGCGAATTTGAAAAGGCAAACGGATCTGTAAGTGAAAGAGGATTTAAAATGTTGTAATTAACACCACACTGCACAAACACTGAGGTCTTACAATGTCCGCCCCACTCCGTAGCATTTACAAAGAAGAGGATCCCCTCTTTGCTGGGAATATTTGGTGATTTATTTTTCCAGCGTTGTAGTTCTCGGATTTTAATTTGGTTTCCAGCAACTGCTTAAAATTTTAGATACGTGACAGACCTTCTGCTATTGGAATAATGTATATACATACATATATGATCTGCATGATGAGACGATTAGATATAGACATGTCCACCATTTGTCCGTTCATATAAATTTGGCGTGTAGTCTGGGCTATCTGCTCCCAGACCCAGTTCATCCGAAATCATAGCCGCATTATGGTTTATGGCATGGAAATGATCTTTCATGAATTAATTCTTAGTACGCACAAATTACGGTGAGTTACAGAGTGCTTGGAAAAAACTCACGGATCTAAAGCCTTCCTCCTAGAGGGTTAAAACGATTATAGTTTTTAAAAGATCACCACATTTTCTTCACTAAATTGCGGCGATTGCTGTGCGACCTCAGTGGAACTGAAAATAATTTACTTTTATCTAAAAATTCAATTGCTGTTCAAATTGTTTTTAATGCCAGCATGTACACCTTTATTATGACGTTCGTGGCCATGGGTGTGACGTGGCTCTGGGAAATAATTTCCTATTTTTGTGAAGACCAAAACCCAAACAGACTTTTAACTGTCATTGGGGACATTGTTAATTCAGCTCAAGGCTTGGCCGTTAGTCTTGCATTCATTTTAAGAAATTATAACACCCTGCGCAAAAGGTAAAACACTGAGCTTTTTGCCTTTTAAATTATTATCATTACCCTTTATTGCATTGTTATGTAGGTTGTGTTTCAAGAGGCCTCTCAAAGGGTCATCTGGAGTTCCAACACGATATGAAACGGATGTGAATGTACAATTTATTGGGGAAACGGTAAATCCAAAACCAACTGTGGTACTAGCAGAGGAATCCACACTATTCGAAATGTCATCTTAGATAATGATCAATGATCGGCTTGTAGAAAATAATTGGATGTCGGTAGAAAATACTGCTTTCCCTGGTAGACTGGAGAACATTGGATTTTTTTTAATTAATCGTGAATGTTTTCGTAGCTCGGGAGTTACATATCTATATTCTATATCTGTATTTATTTTATTCAATTACTTTTTTAAGAATTCACTCAGAATTTACTAACAAGTATTTACAATACATAACATAAACTTCTATCGTTCTTCACAAAATTTCCTTTGAATAATGCCTGAAACATTTTGAACATTGAAAATAATATTCAACATATATTTAGCGTAGGTTTTTAAAATAAAATGAAATAAAAAAAACTCACACACAATTGCACCGAGAACTATTGTTTATAAGTTCGAGAAGCGCGGCAACTCCAACGTGTTAATCCCGTTTACAAAGGTACTGTAAGATCCTTCTGAAGATAGAAAATTCGATTTTTAAAATCGGTTAACTTATTTGAAATCTGACACAATCTTAGACACAAATCCGATCTAAATGTGTACTTTACGTGAGTTCGTGTCGATTAAAAACATATTTTATTACAATTTTCTTTAGTACTTGTTTTCAATCTTGCTAATATATTTAAGATTATAAGATGAGGAAAGAAACTGGAGAACATCTCCAAAACATCGATTTCTCGTATTTTGACCGCATTTTTCGAACACTCGTTCGACATGCTTTTGGATCGTGCAAAAAGCTGTATTGAAGCAGAAGGAACTAATTTGAATAAAATAAATTGATTTTGCCGAAAAACCATTTGTTCTGTTTTTTTTTTTTAAAAAGTCCTGTTTACTTTGGAACACACCTTGTACTATACATTCTCTGTGGGGTTCACCACGGCTCCTTATATGTAAACCCTTTTACAATTTGGGTACAGGATAAAAAACCGGTTTTTGGAACTTGAATTCTAGGGCCCTAGTCAAGGGCGTAGCCAGCTTTTACCAAAGGGGGGCCAAAAAATTAAAATTTTGATTAAATAATGCCCGGTGCATTTAAAAAATAATTTATGCATATGATCGATGAAAAAACTTCAGCAAATCCAACGCAGATCCATTTTAAGGCGAAATAGTGCGTCATAATAATGAACGTGTGGTCGACTTTATATGGAAAAATTTTTTCTAGGGCCGTTTGTAATACGGCAATCCGTACCCGGATCGCGCGATTTTTATATGTATACCAGCTGAATCTGAAGCACACGATGTACAGGTAGATGAGTGGCAATTGCTTGTGGTATTGGAATTTAACATTTTACTTTATTTCTCTGGATAGGGTTATATTTAAATTTTTATTATTATTATACTCTGTACTTGAAATATACAAGAGTATATTAGGTTTGCGGGAGCTGAAAAATATAACAGGCAGAAGGCAATATTGTAAATTGTGGTCAGGATATAGGTATTTTCGTCATATTGGTTCTGGAACGAGGCATAAAAGAAATTTAATTCTTTCTTTCCTCTTCACTATCACTTTATAGCATGATATCATAAATGAATTTGTACTCTTTGTCTGCGGAAAATAAGATAAATAAGAGTTATGGTCTTGAGGCAAGGTTTTCGTGCAGTCAGAATTAAGTGGCTTTAATTTGATTTTACTTTGGTATTTCTTCACATTTACATTTATTTCCAATCATTTACGAGTTGGTGTGAACTCCAGCCACGATGTGTACCAAGAATTGTAAATGCATATTCAAAAGAAGAAAAATAAAATAAATTGTTTCAATACACGTAGTACAAATAATATAGGAACGCGTTGAATAATCGAACTTAAAGAACCGCTGCTTACTTTTGTTGCTGTTGATGTTGTGGTGAGACTCCCCAAATAAAGATCGGCCCCCTTCAAACACCCTTTGAGATTTAAATAACTTGGCAGTCAGTAAATATTTCGATTCACACAATACATCATACGAACAAGAAATTTGTGTTTTTGTAAAAATTCTTTTGTAAAAACATCCCAGCAATGGTTCAATGGTAGAAATACATACGTCCATTTGTACTCATAAGGATGGCTGGCTTAAAGAGGAAGAGGCACGTGGAGTTCCCCTACAGCTATAATAATCCCACCGTTAAAGAAGCCGCTGCCAAATGGCGCGACTTGGTGAAGAACAGGCGTCTACAAGTGGGGGCAATAAACGAAAGCGTCGTTCCCAGTGAAAATGTATCGACATTCTTGGACACTCCCTCAAACTCGATACAATATGTAAGGCCGAGTTTAGCGACGCGGCGTCAATCAGCTGCCTCGGAGAAGCCGCCGCCAAAGGTCGAAACCCGTAGAAACTCCTGGGATCCTTCGCGCATTGAAACTGCTGAAGGTGTGTCGCTGTTCTTCCACGAGCCCGTTCCTGGCCAGATACACCATGTCGAAAGCCGACGAGCGAGTCAAGATGGTCGCCCGAAACAACAATAGTTTAATACATCCGCCGATCACACAGTCCGTACACATTTCAAAATTTTAAATGATAGCCCCATCTACGATTTTTCCTTTGTACTACCAACCAAGCTTTGTTAATTATAATATGAAACACAACCATACAAATGTTTAATTCCTCAGAGTCTGAGTGTGTTCTAAAATCTCTTTCGCTCTCCCTCTTAGCAATATTTCGTCCTGCGAGTGTGTATTTGCATTCGTTGACACTTTGTCGGATCTAGGATCACACCGCAATGCATTTCGGTGAACTGACCTGACATTTCAAGCGACATTGTCTGATAAATATTACATTTATATATACTACTACTTTATATAAACACCCATTATTAAGCTGATGTGTTGTTTACTCAAATGCGCGTTATATTTTTCTGGCCTTATCGTGCCTCACAATCTGAAAATCTTATTATTTCGACGTCTGCTGACGATGATAGATTGGTGCGAAATGAAACGTTTTCGAAGCACACGCTTTTCGCCCGCTTCGGCACCCACACCTACTCGTCTGAGCCACAACCCTCCAAACAGTCTCCTTTGCGCTCTTTCTGCAGCTTCGCTTATGTATCGTGTGCACCAATAAACAGTTCGTTTCATACATAACGTCAGCTTCCCCTGCCGTCGACATATTGTGCTCTCCCTCTAACACGAACGCCAAGTCGAGGCAAGTCTCATCGCTCTTTTTCGTCGATTGGATTGCTGTGGATGTTGTCTCTGTGGATTGTGTGTTTAAGGGGCTATGGACTCGGCAGCCTGCTACAGCGTGCAAACAGCGATGTTGTCTTTAAAAACACACCTGTGTACTTAAAATCAATTCAGGCCAGAGGTATTTAGAATAATGCAATATAAATATTTCTGTGTAAACTAATTGCATATAATACAATAATATATACAATTCGGCAGATTGTGATTTGTGTTGGCTAATTAGTCTCTGCTGAATGGCATTACTGTGAATTTATTTCATATTCTAATATTTTATTGTCGAAAAATAGTTTTTTACTGTTTTGTAAATAGCGTTTGTGGTTTCTAAGTGTTTTCGATCAGTTTACTTAATAACAAGAGGAGCCGAATATAATCGCTTTAGTTGAGCGACAGCTTAACTTAAGGATAGTTAGAAAAAAGTACTTATTTTAGAGGAAAATAATAAACATTTTTCAAAATTAAAACACACATTTTCGAGTATATAAGGAGCTTAGGTATTTTTACACTTTCATGTGTAAAGTTTGAGGCGAGGGAGCCGCTTTTCTGGGCTAGAGCATTCAATGATTAACGATTTCCTTATGATAAGAACACAACTTTTGTTTGTTTTCATCAACAAACATTTACAGACTTTTATTTGTATGTCTTTGTACTATATATCTCATATTTGATGGAATTAAAATGGTGATATATTGCAAAAGTTTCACGTGAAACGCTTGGTGGGCCAGCACGTGATAGGCATCGTTTATTGGCTTAAGTTTTCCCACCTAGAAAATATTGATTTTCGGTCAGAAATATACTATATATACATGGGTATGTATAGTAAGTATGTGTTGCTAACAATGTGGATATTTTATGCAGCTTAAGCTTTATATAAATTTAATATCTGACATTGATGGACATGGAGGACGCGGTAACTAATAAAACGCTTTTTAAATAAAAACTTCAAAATGCATCTCAGATATTAATTAGGAAAAGGGTTGCAATTAACATTTTCACATCAATTTGAGGAATGCCATGACACCAACGCAATGGTATATAAAATAAAATAAATAATAAATTTAATAAACAAAACTAAATTTAAATGCGAATAAGATTAGTAAAATTAAATACGGGTTTTTCAGAATATGCATTCCTAACTACTTTCAGTTCCGAACCGTTGAAACAAAATGATTTTAGATTTCTTTATCTGCCATAACTTCCTTTTGATAACTGCTCCGACCAAAGATATGGCTCCCTTTTTATGTGAGCATCCGAATTCTTTTTAGTAAATTAAGTAGGCTTAATAATATGAATAAGTTGGTTTTCAA